GTGGACAGCCAGGCGCCCCGGCTCGTGGCCAACCAGCTGCGCTGGGACCTGACGGCCGAGCAGATCGAGGCCATGGCCGCCGAGCTCACCGAGAGCACCAAGCTCGTGTACGACCGGGTGGGCAGCCAGGAGAGGGGGGAGGTGTCCTACGAGAACACCCTGAAGGCCCTGGCGGACGTGGAGGTGGAATACACAGGTGGGAGCAGCGGGGAGGGGGGGTCGGGGCTTTCTGGAACTCAGGAGGAAGGGGGAGTGGGTTCAAACTGCCAGAGGGCAGGGTTAGGTGGGATGTTGGGAAGGGATCCCTCCCTGGGAGGATGGGGAGGGGCTGGAATGGAATTCCCAGAGAAGCTGTGGCTGCCCCATCCTTGGAAGTGTCCAAGGCCGGGTTGGATGGGGCTTGGAACAACCTGGGATAGTGGAGAGTGTCCCTGTCCATGTCCCTGGGTGAACTTTAAGGTCGCTTCCAACCCAGACCACTCCAGGATTCCTTGATTCCGTGTTACTAAGGGGTTTTTTTGTGCTGTCAACTCCTGCTCTCTCCCCTTGGCTCCCAGCAGCGTGTTGGTGTTTTTTCCCAGTTAATGTTTATATGACGAGGTACAAGTACAAAGAACAAGACTTGGGAGGGAAGAGCAAACGAAGCCAAGGACACCCCTTTGGCAGCAGGATGAGCAGCCACATTCCCAAGGCTGTCCCCGCTTTCATGTGTCAGGGAGCATCAGTGGCAACAAACAGCAGAAAAGAAATCGTCATCTCCTTCCTAATTTTTTTCCCTAAGCCAGTGGATAAATGTCCCTCCATGTGCCTGCTGTAATTTTTGGGAAGGTGACATGTCGTGGTGGCACCAAAGTGATGCAGTTTTGGTGTCTGGCTGGCTGGTTATTTGCAGAGTGACAATCCAGGCAGCCCCTCGGGGTCCCTGTGCCGGGAGCTGCCACACCTGTCTGGGGCAGGCACCAGCCTGCAAGCCTTGTCTTCCTCCTCTCCCAGCTCTCTTTCCTAAAATAAGAGGAAAAACCCCTTAGTAAGCAGGAGGAGTGTCGACTTCAGCACCTCTGTCAGCACTTCCCTGCTCACCTCGTGCTGGGGGAGAGGGCAGGTGCCTGGAGAGCACCTGGAGTGCTGGTACCGGGGGCTTTGCAGGAATGTCCTCCCTGATCTCCCTCCTCAAGTGGGAATGCATCAGGACAGGGCCCACCTGGTGGCTTTTGGGGAGCACCTGTGGGAAAGACGTGTCCCACTTTTAGCTCTAAGGGAGGCACACAGGGACGGTGCCAGCCTGGAATCCTGGAATATCCTGAGCTGGAAGGGATCAGTGAGTCCAACCCCTGGCCCTGCACAGGACACCCCCCCGAGTCCTGGGATGCCACAGCTGGGGCAGAGGGGTTGGGGCCTCACAGGCACGAAATTCCTGTGAGTTCTGGGGGCAGGCTGGGCTGTGGTGGGAGCCCAGGGG